TTTCTCTACACGACCTCTGAAAGTTGGAGACATTTTCAAAGGTCAGAAGCAGTGCATCTTAGTTTGTTTTACTGCTCATCCCACCAGAGAACGGCCAGAGACTTTCAAAGATAAATCAATCTGGTTTGTTTTAAGCTGCTTTATTTTTCGGTGAATAATTTAACTACAGTCGAGCTTCGTGTAAGCGACCGCCCAAAATGTCAAGCCAATGTGGTCGCTTACGGGAGATGGTCGCTTACGAGAATTGGGTCAAAATTTTGCCTCATTAGCATATGGTACTGCAAAGACTTACTCCATGCCCATCTAAACCCATATAATAACTTTAAGTAGCGACAAAAATTTTCAAGCTTCCCAAAGTATTTATTCAGATTATGATGGTTCGCTTCTGATAAACTACCTAATAAGGCGAACGGAACAAGTCTCATGATAATTACAAATAACGAAGCGCGCGAAGTCTAAAAATAGAGTGCAAATTATTGAAACCCCGCGAGAGTCAGACAACATAAGCATGCTCTGAGAGAAATAGGAGGAAAACGAACGCCAAATTTTCGTTTTAAAAATTGTTTTAGGATCTCTTGCCTACGCGCTCGAATAAGCGTCAAATCTGCCACCATTCCGTTTCGCTTGTCTGAGTTTGTCTGAGTTATGACGTCACTCGCGCGCTTCGCTATTTAATACAGCTGAATACGGAAACAACAGGATATCGATACCTTCGCAATTAAAAACTTAAAAAGCGTGATTGGATATGATTTTTACTGATAGGGAATGTGTTGACCGCGCCGAATACTGTTCTTCGATTTTTAGAGCGTAGTTCCGTTTAACCGTTGACTCAGGGTTCTTGAGAGATTAGCCAAGCGCGCGAAGTCTAAAAGTAGAATGCAAATTATTGGAACCCCGCGAGAGTCACACAACATTAGCTTGTTCTGAGAGAAATAGAAGGAAAATGTACGCCAAATTTTCATTTTAAACGTTGTTTTAAGGAACACTTGCTTTTACGTGCTTGAAAAAGCGTCAAATCTTTCACCATTCCGGTTTGTTTGTCTGAGTTATGACGTCACTGGCGCGCTTCGCTATTGTTTGTAATTATTTAAGACATTTAAGGTCGTTTTTTAGAGACTGATAGAGTACAGTGTATGAGCAATTTTTTCTTTAAATGTTTAAATGTTTTATCCATGTCAAAAGTCAATTTCGAGGAAAAAATCCAGTACTTCCCATTGAGAAATTTTCCGTCTCTTTTGCCACCCAGGAATACAATAATGTTACAACACCTTATTATCCAATTTCCGCTCTATTATCTGTTAAGTGGTCGTTTTAATGCACGAGGTTAAAAACTAAAGTCGCAACCGGAGGTTCGACTGTCACAACACAGTAGTTAGTTCTTTCTAAGTTGTTAAGGTTAGATAAGCGGTCACATTATGTTTTATGCAGGGTATAAGGACGGCGAGGATTGGGACGAGTTAATTACAGAAAACTGTACGATCTGATCTATCTTAGCGTTTTGGAGGTAAAAGGATCACTTTTAAACATTTTCGGAATCGAAATCGATTCGAAGTTCCATGAACGTGCAAGAACTCACCGGACTGTCATCTTGTGCATACAAACATAGAAAACTATGTAACACGTCCAAGCTTGCTGTGAATCTTAGAGGAAGTTATTTGGACTAGTGGAAACAAGAGACGATCATCATAGATAATAGTCTCTACGGTCTCATAGTCTCTTAGTGGAAATGTTAGTGGAAAACGCGTTCAAACGCGTTTTCACTTCTCTCGATGAATGACTTCCTTTATGTCATGATCAGTAAATCCTCTTCAACTTTTGAAAAGAGGGTTTAACTGCGCTTTGCTTTTCTTTGATCTCATTCCAATTTTAATACGTGTAGGCAGCTTTTCTTTTAAGTTCGTAAACTGGACTTCATAAAATAGTCATCACCTGTTATTTCCCCATTTAGTGGCTCGCGTAAAATGCAAACGACTAACTGGTGAGTAAAATCACCCTGACTAAAAGTACGCATGTCTGTCGTCACGTCAACTGTTGTCACGCTAAAGATCTGAAGCATCTCAGTTTGTGACAATTAATTGTTTGTGTCGCTGCAGATGGCAGTGACATATTTTTTTGTAATTTCATTCGTCAATAGAAAGCTGCACTTGCTGACAGCGTTATACAAGAAACTCGTCCGGCTCACACTCAAAGTGATTTTATCGGCGACCGACCGTACCTGTTAACACATTTTATAGGCCCAGCGGTCCACACTATAAAGGAGGAATTTGAAAACGGAGGTTTATTTACACGTTTAGGCCTAACGTCCACACTAATCCGTCATGATAACAACGCTTTTCGAAAACGCTCTTCAAACAGGAGGAATTTAAAAACGCCGGCTTTGCGTTTTAGTGTGGACGAAAAACGTTTTGAAAACGAAGCATTTCGAAAACGATGGTGTCACGATAATCACGTGACTTCCCTGACCGAGTTTTCCTTAAACACGAATCCAAGATGACCCGTGATTGTTGCGTTTTCGAATTCCTCCGGCCTATTGAGGACAGAAAACATTTGAAGTGTTTTCAGAGTGAAATCTCCGTTTTAAAATTCCTCCTGCGTAGTGTGGACGGGGCTACAGTCAGCTAGCTGCAAGTTAAATATTACGAGTGAGAGTCAATTTGTGTTCAAGTCTTTTTTGTACCATTAATTTTTGGGTCTCTTGTTCTGAGGTAATTTAGTTATGTGCTTGCGAGTTAGTTCACAGAGTTGAGATCAAACGCCGCAGATTTCTTTTGCCGTAAAACGACTGATTTCGGGATTGGATGGAATATTTGTAAAGATCTACTCAGATATAAATATAATAAAACAAGATTGATATTCACTTTTCAGTCAAAATACCTTAATGTGCGTTTCTTCGTTAGTATCTTAGTCAATGGACTGAGGTCCATCGTTTTGTATGTTCAGGAATTTCTGTGCTGCAAACTGGCAAGCTCAACATGTCGCAAACTTTTCAAGATTGGAGTTGTGGCAGTGGATGTTCACCTCCTCTAAATTGTCGACTGGCTATTTGTACGAACGTTGCATTTCCTCAAGCGTTCAGTGGATCGGCAAAAGTAAGTGTACAGAATGACTGTACATTATGTAATATTTAAACGCTGTTTTATGACAAAACTTTAAAGTATTAATGTTGCTTGTGCAGGTTTAATTTACTGAAAAAGTTAAAGCATGTTGAAACTTCAACCAGTAGGCTTGCAGTTGTCAGACAAGCAGTTTCAGGTCTAAAGTGTAGTTTCAATTATTTTACTAATTATAATATTTCTGTTACTGATATATTAAAATTTTACGCTTCTTAGGTTCAGGTGCACGTGTCAATAAGCCACGGTGAGGAGTTTTCACGTGTTCACTCGCCTTCTGCAGTGTGGGTTCAGTCCATTAGCACACGTGGATTTGAGGTCTGTTCACGTGAAACGGGGACTGGATCAAATAAAACTGGAATTATTAACTGGCTGGCCTATCAAAGTCATCCAAAAATGATGTATGGCAGTGTGATTTTTCAAGGAATGTGGACAACAGAAAGCAAATGTGACAAAGTTACATTCTCACAGGTCAGACACTAAACAGACAGAGAGTGTCTCAAGAAGAAACCCATACATATACTGTATCAACTTATGTCCTTGTTAAGATGGGAGTTGATCTCAATTTAATTTTCTGTTTTGATAAGCAAAGTTAAAAACAAGTGTAGTTACAGAACCTCAAAAGGGTAGTTTGCAAACACCTAACCTGACGTCATGGTTTACAAAACAAGTGGAACTGAACTTCTCATTTTAGCGAACTACCAATGGATCAATTGTAACATAAGTTTGTGTAATTTACAGAACTTTGGTGGAAGACCTTCTGTGTTTGTCTCAGCTAAGTACGCTCGTAGTACCAAGCCTGATGACGCAATGTATGTTTGGTTGGAGAACGTGAATTCTGGAAGTTTCGAAGTTTGCATCCGGGAATTCTTGCCATTTGATGGAAAACACCAAGACACAATTGTGGTACGTGAAATCTTTTTAACGTGTTTTTGTGATTACGAACAAACATTAGAGAGTTTGCCACAATTGCAACCATTGTCTTCCAGGACCCTTTTTTATCGCAACATATTATAGACCACTCCACTTTAAAGAGGTCTTCTTTATCTGCTGCTAGAATACTACACACTATATTTTCCAAAATAATTATTTTTAAAAATTAATACTTTAGTTACAATTTAAATTTATGTCTTACAATTTGTTTGTTTTCCTTAATTCTCTCCGTTTATATACTTTTGTTTCGTCAATACTGGTTAGCTTTGCTGCCTCGTTGTTTTTTGTTTTTTAAAATTTATAATGTCTTTGTTGACAACTTCTTAAGTATTTTCTTTTTCCTTTACAGGATTGGTTTGCTTTACTTGGCGATGGTTCTAAGTTTAACTTTACGTTGGTAGGAGAAGCGTTTTTTCCCAACGCTGGAAACCCAACAGCTGACGATAACTATGGCTTCTGTCAAGTGAGTGTATTTGATTGGCAGGTGTCAGTCATCTCGTAAACGTTTTTCATCTCAGCTGAAGGGAGATCCAGCAAACACATTGTCACATTCAACAAAATGACAATTGCGGGAGTGGTTGTCTCAAGACTATCTTCTGATACCTCCTTCGTATTAAATTTTATTGCAGAGGCAGATTGCAATTTGAGTGGTTTAAGGACGGAACCTACTAAATAGAAAGGTTTTTGCACTAGGTTAGGACCACGCGGAAAACGTAGATATTTGCAAGGGCTATTGAAATCCACAAAGAAAAACTGGGGTAGCATTTTGTCGAGATAATTAGCCTTGAGTCAACAAAAATGCTGACATCAGCATTTTTCTGAAAAACGAAGGACAGGATATTCCTTCACTGATTTCCTTAGAATTCGCCTTTACATACAGAAAAGCAAACACATTCAAAAAGATCTTAAAACTGCATGGTAAGTGGTAACATAAAAACCATTTTTGGTATGTTTTTAATGATGGTAATAGGACCGAGTGGAGTCCAATTCGGTCTGTAATCATACGAGTGATGAACAAAATCGGACGACCGCGAAACGGGAGTCCGATTTGTTAACCACGAGTATGATTACAGACTGAACTGGACGACACCATGTCCTGTTACCAATTAATCATAACAATTACAATTTCCCACAAAAGTAAAAGTTTCATTTGAAAAAGAGCTTTTAATAGTCATGATTGAATATCATAATTATAAAATATGGAGAACAGCTTGCAAAATGGCTGTCAAGTCTCTGTCAAAACAGTCACCAAAGACTAAACCTCCACAATTTTACAGTCAGTCTATTGAATTGGTTACTATAGTGATTGTAATCAATGCTGTGATTGGTGGATTTAGTGGAGAAGACTTGTAATGATTGGCTCATGTAACTGTCCGATTACAGGTGTCCGATTACAACTTTGCAGATTAATTAGAGCAAAATACAGCAGTTTATGCACCAATCACATTTGAGGAAATTGTAATTGTTTTGATTAATAAAATCGTCGCAACAGCGCTTTTAGCGTCTCTGAGAGTCTTCCTCTGGTTCAGTTAAAATACAGTCTAATTAACAAATCGAATGTGGTTTAACGTGGTCTGTACTCTTATTGACAACGAGTACGCGTCATCATAGTGGTCAAAATGTTGTGGACTCACCAGACACAGCCGAGTGAGTCCACAACAAATTTTGACCACTGCGATGACGCGTACTCGTTGTCGATAAGATTACAGACTACGCTAAACCACATCCGATTTGTTTTTTTACCACAATATAAAAGATAACGAAAGAAATCTTTGTCAAAATTTGTTGACAATTGAAAACACCGACTCGGACTTGAAAGTGCACGCGCTGCACCATGCAAATGAGCTAGCTACTTGTACGCGTCAGACTTTCCTTTCAAAAAGTTTTGCAAACTCGCTCAACATGCAGAAACAATAAGAAAAATTGTTTGAGAAAAAGTAATGACGCGTACTCGTTGTCGATAAGAGTACAAACCACGCTAAACCACATTTCGATTTGTTTTTTACCACAATATCAACGTCAAAGAAAATGTTTTTTTTTCAGAGCGCGAGCTGAAAAATGAATTGCGCGACACAGTGACGCGAGCAGCGTGGTATGGACTCTTGTCGACAACGGCAAATTAGCCAATCAGATTGCGAGATTAGCAGCAATTGTGGTAAAAATACCTTTTGCTCACAACCAGAGACAAATCACGTGTTGAATAGGCTTGCCACTTCCATTTCATAACATAAAATATAGGGCTAACCACGCGTTTTTTTAAAGTTATTGATCTTTTTTTAAAACTTCTACGGTGCCCGTTACATTTTTTCTTGTCACCTTCCCTGTAAGTAAAACATTTGCGTATCTTGTACTTGTTTTGCGCGCGCACTACACCATCTGAAAGTACATCAGTGTTTATAGCTGGATTTCAGTATAATTTTCGACAGATAACAGCTAGTTTTTCAGCTGGAAGATGTTAACAGTTAGTGGTTACCGATATGCCGCTATTCTAGTATTCCTGGATTAAGTACAGGTTAAGTAACCTTGATTTGGTTACAGTAGGAAAATTTTGCTTTCATTTTAGTCGTGTACTTGGTAGCGTAGTTGATTGTGTCAATGTCGTGTGCGTACTAAAAAAAAGTAGGCACCGTCCTTTAACGCCCTTTCTGTTTCTCCTCACAGCAAGTGCAGTTCAACACCACCTTTTACGCGTCACCAGTTGTACTTGTGTCTGTTCATCATGATTACGATCGTAAAGTGAAGAACCACATTCCACCAGAATACAACATAATAACAACCTGGGTCGAGGTAAGACATAACTCTTTATTGCATGTCTATCAACGGCAGTTTGTTCCTCGTTATTCTCTTCGAAACTGGTGTGTAAACACAGTAGACAAAGAATGTAATTATTTTAAACTTTTAATTAAATTTTAAGTATTTTTTAGTATTTTAAGCATTTTAAATTCACTTTTTACTTATTTCAATATATTCATTTCATCTTTGTTTTTTTTACAGGGCTCAAGTTGATATTAGTTTTGTAACTGAAATAGTTATGGTGTATAAATATTTTCAATTATTATTATCATCATCATCATCACTATTATTATTATTATCATTATTATTGTTGTTGTTGTTGTTGTTGTTATCAAAAGAATAGTCTTAAGCCTATTAGTAATAATCGTTTATTACAAAAAGGTAACATGACGTTTAATATTTGACTTCTCCTTTAGGAAGTTGGTCTGACAGCCATGAGGATTTGCGTCAAAGGCTTGAGTGGATCAGGAAGTAAACACGACCCTCTGTCTGTCAGCTATGTTGTAATTGGAGGTAACACCTGTAATCTTACTCTGGATAAAACTATCATTGAGCTGTTTTACTGAGAACGGTTCAATTATTTACTAATTCACAATTAATTCTTTCAGTTTATGTGTTCAAAAATGATGTTCAGAAGCCGGTTGACAGCCTTTTGAGCGACTGTACCTAGCCTTCAGTACTAGAATTTTGAACGACTATTAAAATAATAAATTGGATTAGTTAGGAACAAATCTTTCAAACTTGATCACTTGCTGATA